TTAACAGCAACCCAGTTGTTGTCTCAGAGGCACTGGAAGCAGAGAGCTTTGGGTTCAGAGGCGAATCGGGGGGGGCAAGGACATGGGCGGTGCAGTCCGACAAAACCTACAGGTTGTTCATTCCTTGGTTCGCTCTTGGGATGCTACACAATACATTTGCATTTGCCGAATTGGGTTGCTGTAAGCAGAATAGGAGCCAGAAATGATGACTGACCGAGTAAAATCTCAAACCACCAAAACAAATCGGGTGAGAGCAGATTTCTGTGGTCTGTGTTTGGGGTGTGGGGCCAATGTGTCATCTGGCTTGAGGACACTTAGGGTGAAGGCTCTTGCTTGGATCCAAGCTAGCGATTTCAGACCGGAATACGTACGACAGCATGTGACCTCAAGTCCTAGGAAGTTGTTTTACTAGCTTTTCGTAAGGAAAAAGGATGAAAAAGGGTATATAATCTCTACCTAACCCTATACAATCCCTACATAACCCCTATATAACCCCAATATTATTAAAATATAACCAGGACAGGAAGCCCCTACAGGCATGGCTGATGGGATTTGGGGGGTTAATTAATCAACAGGGTGAGGTTTCCCAGTAACCCCAAATAGTGAGGGTACCCTGTTTCCTGATGTTCAGCTGTAATAAGGAGACCCCAACATCAGAAGGAATAAAAGGTACTAGAGGGGTACCTAGAAGACATTAAGGGTTTAGGGTTGAAGAACATGCTTAAATGCAGAGGTGGAGTATAAGTTGAGCCCTTGCCCTCCCAACGCCCAGATTGTAGGTGACAGTGATTGTTTGCAAGAATGCCGATGCAGAAGTGAAGCCTGTCCAGAGAAACCCTGACAAATCCTAATGAATGCTTCTAGACTGCCGGTGCCTCCAAATGCTGCGCCTCCATGGTCTGGAAAAAACAGTGCACAGATCGCCACTGCCTGCGCAAGCAAAAACTTGCAAAGACCCTAACCATAATCAAAGTTTTTCATCATAAGCCATAAGCGGCATTCTGATATGAAACTCCAAACACACTTGTCCAATGTGGTGCTACACATGTTGCACTAGTCTGTCACTCGTTGCTCACCCTCCTTAGACCGTGACCGCCCTTAAAAGAGATTGCCCGAAACCCTGAGCGAAACTTTGGGTAATATCAGACATTCTCCCAGAACTGTAAACCATGAGTACATATGCATCTACAACCTCAAACACCAAACCCTAGCTAAAGTCTTAAGACCTCGGACCTGCACAAAGCTCCAACCCGCCTGGCGAAAATGCAATCTAACAGAACAAGTAAGTTCGGAATCAGTTGCTGCTGTGGCAGCTGCAGCGCCGATGGTCTGAAGTTAAACGCAAAATAGCTGATTGGAAAGAACTGGCAGAGGATCACATGATATTTGTGGTGCTATGGGCATCTTCTCAAATGACAGCTTCACAGGCCTTAAGAGCCCTAAGGGTCCAAGGGGTTTGGGATAATAGTAATTCTAGTATAGGTTTTGGGTAAGTATATGATTACTGGGTACTTGGACCCTTAAAAAAGGTGGCGTAAACCAAGCTTAGCATGCCAGTCCTTGTGTTTGCGCCGCAACCTTGCTCGCACCAGTAGAACCAAGCGTATTTTAGGGTACTTTATCTTGAGAACGTCTCTGCATTGCGCTGAACCCGACACTTCCAACATAGAAGGTGGACTTGCTTTTCGAAAGCACCTAGAAATCTAGAAACGATGATAGCAGCCCAGCTTCCATTTCACCTTACTTTTTCTTGTCCAGTTGATTATCTGCTTAAAATGATAAGAATTTGACCCTAAGCCCTAAACTCTAAACCCTAGAGAAATCCTAAAGCCCTTTTTAAGGACCCCTACAACTAGGTGGGTCCCTTTAGTCAACATGGCTATCGACGCCCAGGTGCAGGCACTTGCCGCATGCAGTGATCAAGGCATTGTACGTAATGACCTCGCGGGATTGGGCTTGATGTTGTTGGTAGGAAATACGGGAATACATTCTACAGGGATAC